CACGGGTCTCCTCTTCCTACAAGGGAACAGGCGTACCAACAGACGCACGCTACGGTGCGCTTTCACTCTGCCTGCATAGCGCTCGGATTTCTGTCCGGTTTTGGTGTCAATTACAATCAGGTCCCAGAGTCTTAGGCCTGGGTCTACAGAAAATCCCTCCTGCTGCAGCCTTGCAAGGGCAGACAAGCCCTTGATTTCCCCTCCCGACGGAAAACCAATGGCTGTTTCGCAGATCTGTGCTTTGGGGAAAGGAAGAAAACTAAGGCCAAGCACCTCCCATTCTCCTCCAAGGGGAAAACAAAACCAGACTTCGTAGTCCAAGTGCCTGCGCCTTTTGAGTCTAGTTTTTAACGGAGTGAACACAACCAGCCAAGAAACAACTGAAACGTCTTAAAAAACCCCCAGTGAGATGAGAAACGCTGTTCTCGGGTCTTCACAAACTCCGCTCGCTATCTGCGGGTGGGTTTGTTTTCTGCACGTGTTCGCTATAAAAAAGTTAAACCCACTGGTGTCAAGTCACCCTCGGGTGCGCGCCCCTCCCAGTAAAACTCTGACCCAAATCCTAGGAGACAGCAGATATAAGGCAATGCAAGTGGCTGCGGGCAGACGGGTTGGGGGGAGGCATCTAATGGGGCCGGGTTTGCAACTCTACCTGGGTCCACGTCTAATGCTGTTCTAAGCGGGGTTTTCAGGGTGGAGCAGAAGCATTTGGCACGCCTGAAAAGTTCCTATCTGACAAAGGGCCCAACGGACTCGAAAGCCACCTGGCAAAGAAATGTCTGTTTGAAACTCAGGAGGCAGAAAAGGCCACGAGACAGCAACGCCGAGGGGAGTCGGGATGCGTTTTGGCAAATGATTTGACGTCCCTGTTCCTACCACAAATCTAACCCAACCCCACGTGCTAAAATCCTCGCAAAGACGACAAGGAATTGAAGCCAAGCTGGGCGCCGGAGTCAGCGAGCCCATCAGGTGAGAGGGAGAAACGGGATTTGCTGCACTTCACGTAAACCAAAATCTCCATTAGCCTCAACTAGTCTCTTGCTGTGAAAGCTCCCTCCTAGCATAGCCACAGCAGGGCGGCAATCGGGACGTGCTAGTCTACAACCCCCGGCCTCGGAGGCCGGCTGCAAAGGGAAAGAATAGTAAAAAGAAACAAACCCACTGAAAGTGAGCGGCTTCGAATGTTCTCCAAATCATACAGCGAAGTCGAGTGTGTGCGGGACCCCGATGTTGTTCGGGTTCCTGGGCTTAATAGTTCAGAGCCCAAAAGGGGCCAGATATGAGCTATTAGATCAAAGCCAGGATGACGGATGAAATTTTCAGAAGTGCCATTTTCAAAAGAGACATAGGAGCTGATTTTCAAGGGTATTTAGGAGCGTAAAGATGCAAACAGGTGCCTACCGGCACAGTC